CAATTTTGGTTTTTAAAAATCATGACAACGTTTTACCATAAAATTGAGTAGCTAACTTTTGGTAACACCTTTTGTTTATTTGTATGTTTGTAATAACAGACATTTTAAAACATAGGAATGTTTTGGTTTGTACAGACTTTGACAAATGTGTGTTAATAAAACTTCATATTGACTCAAGTATAATTTGAGGTGTTTTTTTCTCATTTACTTCCTGTTAGTTCACCAATAAATCCTATTATCCCCTTCAACTTAGAAAACAGTCAGTTTGTCTTGCTGGAGGACTTCAGAAATTAAAACCCTAACTCTGCTAATAGTTAGGGATTTTCATGTCCATCAGAGAATAAGCTCATTCTTTCTTCTGTGATTTTATTTATCCATTGTAAGTACTTGCTTCATTATAAGCACTATGCTAGGCAATGAAGATACAGCAGTGAGGAAAAGCAACAAAGTTACTGCCCTCATGGGGCTTCCATTTCACAGAATATTGGAAACCACCATTGTTTCTTGGTTTTATAGTCATCATGATTGTTTAAAAACATATATATATATGTATATATATATGTGTGTGTATATATATATATATATATATATAGGATGAAAATTTTTTTTTGGATGAATTATTTTTAAATTATTTTTACTTATTTTTAGGGAGAGGGGAAGGGAGGGAGAAAGAAAGGGAGAGAAACATCAATGTGTGAGGGAACCATCAATCATTTGCCTTCGCACGTCCCCAACTGGGGACCTGGCCTGCAGCCCAGGCATGTGCCCTGACCAGGAATCAAACCAGTGACCTTTCAGTTTGCAGGCTGGTGCTCAGTCCAGTGAGCCACACCAGCCAGCGCAGGATGAATTTTAATAAAGTACAAGTGAGAGGTTTTTGAGATGCCATATGAAGAAGGTGAAGAATGTATTAGTTTTAAACCTTGGTGCTAATAGTTTAATAACAGGTATTATCACTGTCACATCCTGATCATACTATTTTATAGACTCAGTGACAACTTATTTTCTCTAAATAATTGAAGATAGTTTTATTTTGTAGGGTTCTATGGTCTGAATGTTTGTGTTCTCCAAAAAATTCATATGTTGAAATCCTAATCCCCAAACATGGTAGTATTAGAAGGTGAGCCTGTGGGAGGTGCTTAGGCTCTGCCCTCATGAATGAAACTAGTGCTGTGGGAAGGACCCTCCACAGAGAACTTCCTACGCACCTCCCACCACATGAGGACACAGCTGGAAGGTGCTTGCTGTGAACTAGAAAGAGGGCCCTTATAAGACAATAAATACATGCTGGCACCTTGGTCTTAGACTTTCCAGCCTCCAGAACTGGGAGAAATTTCTGTTGTTTATAAGCCCCCCAGTTTGTGATATTTTGTTATAGCAGCCAAACAGAGTTAAGACAGGGGCTAGATTTATGACCACCATTATTGTGTGAATTATCTTTATGCATTTATTCAGTCTTACACATTTAGTAATAAAAAATACCAAACCACTTATATGTGCAACATTGTAAACCTAAAAAACATCATGTTAGTCCCGGCTGGTGTGGCTCAGTGGATTGAACGCCAGCCTGCAAACCGAAAGGTTACTGGATCTATTCCCAGTTAGGGCATGTATCTGGGTTGTGGGCCAGGTCCCCAGTTAGCACATGAGAGGCAACCACACATTGATGTTTCTCTGACTCCCTTTCTCCCTCCATTATCCTCTGTCTAAAATAAATTTAAAAATCTTTTAAAAACATGTTAATTGAAACAAGCCAAACACTGAAGAATACATAAAATATGATTTCATCACTATGAAGTCCAAAAATTGGCAAAACTAATGTGTAGTGATAGAAATCAGATAATGATTTCTGTGGATAAGTGGAATTGATTAGAAAGGTGCATAGCTCAAGGAAACTTTCTGGGGTGATGACAAAAATGTTCTATATCTTGGTTTGGGTGGTGGTAACATGGATATATATATATATATATAAAGTGTCAAAATTTGTTGAACAGTATCTGTGTATTCTATTGTATGTCAGTTATAACAGTTAATATAGAAAAGCACTTAATCCTAAAAATGCTACTATGAACATTTCTATACTTGGTTTCTGGAACACATATGTGTGCATATCTTTTGAGTATATAGTTAGGAGTGGAATTGCTGGGTCATAGAATGTGTATGAAACACAGCTCTGATACTTAATAGCTGTATGACTTTGGGCAAGTACCCAGAAACTCTAGAGAACATGGATTTCCTTATCTGTTACCAAGGAGTTAATCTTATTTTGATGGGTGCCAACTGGGAAAACTGTTTTTGTCAGTTAACAAGAGGACAAAAGCAGAGAAACCTTTCTCTCTAAAATCACAGATTTTAGAAAAGTTGCTAATTGAAATATCACTAAGAATGGAATATTCTGCTCTTGCTTGGAGGATCTGAGTTATTTTGACAGAGAGCAGCAGCCTCCATTTCCAAACCAGGTGCAAAGCTTCAGATAAGGGGTTTCCAGATACAACATTTCACATTTATCTTCACCTGTAGTTTCCAAGGAAACAGGACCTCCAGTCCTTTTATCATCTCAGGCCTGATGAGAATCCCTTTACAAATAGCCTGGGTGTGCTTTGAGGCTATATCAAAACACCATTTCCTTGAAATTTTACCTACACTCCATCTTTTCCCCAATCCTTGAATAAGTATCTCTATCTGTGCTTGGTGTGATGCTCCACGAGTCCTCTGGTGTGCAGTCTGCCTCAGCCTTCAGGTAATAAAGCTAAGTTTGTCGGACCACAGGTGGGCTTTACCACATGGGCTTTATGTTGGGGATTACAGATAAATGTTTGTAAAATTTGTTCACATTGGCTGGATAGGCATTTAAGAAATGGTAGTGATTTTTTTTATTATTCATGTATAAATTTGAGAAATGTTCATTTGACATCTAGTATTTGCAAGGCACAAACATTGTTATGAAGGAATAGGACAAGATAGCACAGGATAACAGATGGATAACCACTATTTACTTTAAATGAAAAAACCACCACTGTATCTTCAGTTGCTAGGAGAAAAATACCTTTGCTGAGCTTCACTTTACAGAGACAAATGTAAATGAAAACATTCTCAAGACTATTTTACAGTTAAAAAGAACAATTTACATGATTTGCTAGGACATAAAACCATGGATTCTAAGAAATGGTAGGGTTTTAACCAGAGTGAGAGCCCCCAAATGTTACCTGTTCCTTTCTATAGAGAAAGAAATGCTCTTATAAATGCTCCAGCAAAAAAAAAAGAGATAGCCCTAGCTGGTGTAGCTCGTGGATTGAGTGCAGGCCTGTGAATCAAAGGATTGCTGTTCGATTCCCAGTCAGGGCAAATGCCTGGGTTGCAGGCCAGTTCCCAGCAGGGGACGGATGAGAGGCAACCATACATTGATATTTCTCTCCCTCTCTCCCCATGTAAAGATAAATAAAATATTAAAAACCAGAAAAAATAGAGATAGATTAACTTACAAAAACTAAGGCTGAATGCAAGCTCATTCACTCACTGGGGGTCCGTCGTCCTCCCACCCATATAGGCACACAGCTTCCTCTTTGTCATTCCCCAGAGATCGGCAAGGCAGGCTAGACTGGGTTGGGGTGGAGAACACAGGAAGCAAACACTGCCAATTCCCCTTCACTTCTCCCTATGTTGATCTCCCAAACCAAAATCCTACCCTTGTCTTTCCATTTACCATAAGCTCACAAAATGCAGTCTTCTTTGGGAACATCGAGGACATACACTCCAAATGACTTAAAATGATTTAAAATCATCTGAGGGTATAGTTCTCTAAGAAATCTTGGTTTGGGATATAAATGAAGATGCCATTTGCCAGGGATTTTAGATGAAGAATGAATTTGGGAATATGTGAATGCATTTTAGGAAAGTAGCAAGATGACAATGAAGTTAGTTTAGCATTTGGGTTTTGTAGTCAAACCTCATGAAAGCAAATTGTGTTCTTCATTTTCTCAGTTGTAAAGGAAAAATAATAATGCTTACTTTGTTCAGTTACTTTACGTCATTTAAAAAATCGATAGCCATGCTGTGAAAGACAAATACTATGTGATCTCACCTTTAACAGGAATCAAATCAACAAAACAAACAAGCAAAATATAACCAAACACACTGAAATTGAGAACAGGCCGACAGTGACCAGAGGGGCGAGGGGAACGAATTTCAGGGGAAAAGGGGAAGGGGAACAAGTATCAAGGACACATGGACAATAATAAGGGGGAGGGGTGGAAACGGGGAGGAAGGTGGGGAGGGCTGGGATGGGGGTAAAAGGCAGAAAACTGTACTTGAACGACATTAAAATAAAAAGTTAAAAATTAAAAAAAAAAATCGCCCTGGCTGGTGTAGCTCAGTGGATTGAGTGCGGGCCTGCGAACCAGACAATCGTGGTTCGATTCCCAGTCAGGGCACATGCCTGGGTTGCAGGCCGGTTCCCTGCAGGCCAGTTCCCAGCAGGGGACGCACGAAGGGCAACCATATATTGATGTTTCTCTCCCTCTCTCCTTCCCTTCCCCTCCAAAGATAAATAAATAAAATCTTAAAAAAATCAATTGTTTACTATCCATCCTAAAGGTAAAAAGTTACAACATGGTCCCTTGCTGTGAAAGAGCCTGTGGACAACTGAACTGCAGTGACAATTCACACATAGTACATGCTTGATACATTTTATTATTATTATTATTATTATTATTATTATTATTATCGTATGGTTTTGATTAGAAAAGGGGTGGGAGGAGAAATGAAAGTGGTTTGTAAACCATAAAAGTACTCCACAAACACTAACAAAGCCAGAAGGTGGAAGTAGAGAGAGAGGAATTTCAGGAGTCTGGGTAAAGCTATGAGTTATAACATAGTCGAATACTCCCATATTTTAACCTGAATTCTCAGAATAGAACGTGTTAGGGCTGAGATCATCTAGCTAATCGAAAATTCCTGCCTTCTGTCACCGTGCCCTGGCGAGAAACAGTACCGCCAGTCACCTCAACTCGTCCAGTCCCAGCTCCAACAGTGTGACGCCACCATTCCGACACGCATTCTCCCAGCCCACTGCATCCAATCTCTCAGCTACAGGTCCCGGCACTAGTTCAAGCTGTGCAGGCGCACTGTATAGTAGGGCGGGGCGAACGCGTGCGCGCTGCGAGGGGGCGGGGCCAGTGCGCACGCAGCCTCAGTCCCTTCCCCGCCCTTTCTCTTCCAGGTTTCCCAGTCAGTCTGTGGTCCGGTTTGGTGGCTGCTTCCGGTGGGACCGCAGAACCGGGCGAGTCGGTTTCAGCTCCTCGTTATGTCCTACGGACCCTTAGACATGTACCGGAACCCGGGGCCCTCGGGGCCCCAGCTTCGGGACTTCAGCAGCATCATCCAGACATGCAGCGGCAATATACAGCGTATCAGCCAAGCCAGTAAGCCGGGGAACAGAGCTGGGGTGCGAGGGGCGACCCAGGAACAGGCCTGGGTGAAGCTTCCGAGACGCGGAGCCCGTCTCGGGCGCGGCCAAGGCCTCACCTGAAGACGTGTCGGGCTTTCCACTCTGGGGGCTGCGAGCTGTAATCTCCGAGTCTTGTCAGGCCCAGGCTCCCCGAGGGTCCCGTACCCCAGCTAGAAGGAAGCTTGAGTCTCTCCTTAAGAGTTATGCTCTTATGATGTTGGGGCCAAAACATCAGTTCTGACAGCCCCAGGGAGGGAAAGTGTGTGTGTGTGTCACCTGGAGATCCGTGAGTTGATTTGGTGCAGTGGTCAGCCGAGTATTTTCCTGTCATCGCCTCCCCCACGCTACCGCCCCCCCACCTCTTTCCTGTTTGGCCAGTTTGCATCGGTAGTTGTTTACTGATGTAGACATTATTAGGTTTACGTTCTGCTCAGCTCTGGCTCCTTGGAAATCAGCAGCTTTCAATTAAGGGAAGTGGAGAGGGCGTATGTTTGGGTGACTTAAAAACAGTTCTTCCTTTAATGAATTTGGAAATCAGATACAATGACTTGTATTTGAGGGGTGAGATCATTTCCGTTTTACCAAAGAGAATTCACCATAAACATTTCAATTCACATTATTCTGTCTTTTGTAGCAAAAGATTTGTACATATTTTTGTATTTCAAGCCGATGAAACTTTTGTTTTCCTTCACTGTTTACCGACTCTTGAACAAATCTGATACACGGAGAAACTCAGGGACTTGAGTAAGTTAGACTACCATGGCCCGGTGGTGGATTTCAGAAGGTCATTGTCTTAAAACTTCACCCCTATAAGTAATGTCTGAGTGAGACTAGCCGAATGAGTCAAATATAGGCTATTTCTTGTGCCTGGGAATCAGCTCAGCCTTATAAACAGGAGAGCAGCAGCAACTTTACTTTGAAAAATGGTGATCATCATCCTTGTTTATTATTGTGTGCTTTGTAAGCTTGGCAGTACTGTTAATAGGCGGAACTAGTTGGCCCTGAACACAGTTATTTTCAGTATTTTTAAAGAACAGAGTATCATTTTGCTTTTAAATTTAAGTACACCAAGTAGAATTTGAGAAGTGGGAAGTTTCTGATGGGAAGGGATCAAGAATGGGTGATTCAATAGTGGAAAGAAGAGTATGTGGTCTGTTTAATCCAGAAATTAAAAAAAAATTAATATGACCCCTGGCTAGGAAATGTAGCAGTACTTTATGTTCCGTTTTCTCTCTGTGAGGGAGCTGTAATACAAGTTAGATTTTAAAAAAAGTCTGGTTCAAAGCCAAAAGTTTTCTTTTGAGGCTAAATTTAATTTTAAGATCTATTCGTGAAATCGTTCTACATAATATTTGAGTATCAGTTAATGTGGTAAGTACTGTGGGAACTGGCATGGATTCCTTCAAAAGGGTTTCTGTGGAGGACATAATCGATATAGAAAGTCCAAAGGGATCAGTGCTATAAAAGAGATATAAATAACATTATTTAAGTATTCAGCAGAAAGTGAGATCATTTTCAGTAGGGAAGGGTCAAGGAAGGCATTATGGCATTTGAACTAGGTCTGGAAAGATGGTGAAAAGAGTTTGAACTTTGATGATAAATAACAGAAGGGCATTCCAGGAAGGGGTACAATGAACAAGGCATTGTAGTGGGAAAGCATAGGGTATATATAGAAAAGTAGAGTGATTTAATTTGGCCAGAGTGGTGGACTCCACAAAGTAGTGGAAAGTAGAGTTGGAAAGGTAAGTTGGTGCCCAAATAGGAAGAGCTCTAAGTGCTAAACTGGGGGGCGGGGGAAAGTTGGATTTAATTCTTTAGGAATATGTAGATGTTGTGGGTTGTAGATGTAGATGTTTAGGAATATGAGTATCTTGAACTGAAAAGGAGACACTGCAGTCAGAAACACCGGTTAGATACTGAAAATAAAAAGGAAGGAAATGATAGGAGAGGCTTCTTTGGTGATAAAATTGATAAGATTCAAGATTGGGAATTGGGCTCAAGGGACATTGGAGTCAGCCATTAATTACATTAATAACTAACATTTGGGTACATACTGTGTGCCAGGCAGTATGAAAAATCTTTAAAAAAATACAAACTTTATTATATTTTTCCATTACTATTTAGTTCCCTTATACCCCCTCCCCCTGAAAAATTCTTTACATGCATTATCTTAATTTTATAACAACCCTGTAATTACCAATATTATTTTAATTTTATAGATTAGGGAACATGCTGAGAAAGATAAATGATTACCCAGCTAACATAGCAATACCCGAATCTGAAACCAGGTCTTTTTTTTAATGATCATCAATTAGCCATTTTTAAATTTTTAATTAATATTACAGTTTTACAGCAGTTAACACTTCAAGTCACAAGTGACTTTTTAACTCTGCACAGGAAGCTATGGGGCTTACCTGAGGCTGTTGAACTTCTTTTTGTGATGTGCCTGTCTCTCTGCTAGACTGTTTGTGTCTTTGAAGCATGGGACGTGACTTCATTCATCTTTAAATTTCTAGTACTTTTCTCACTCCCAGGCATATGATAGATTCATTCATATACTGTTCAACAAATATTCTTTGAGCACCTGCTCCATGCTGGGGATGGAGTGATGAACAAGAAAGACAAAATCCCTTCACTGATAGTGTGTGTGTGTGTGTGTGTGCGCACACAAGTGCACATATATACACATATATAAATAATATTGAATAGTAAGTGCTATGAAGGAAAAGCAGCACAAGGGAATAGAGAATGAGGAGAGAAAGAGGGTGGGTGTGCCATTTGAGATAAGTTGGTCAAGAGGGCCTCTCTGAGGAGGTAACATTTGAGTAGACATCTGAATGAAGTGAGGGTGAGAGCCCTGTGAGTACTGGGGGAAGGCATACTAGGCAGAGGGAATAGCAAGAGCAAAGATCTTTGAGTGTCAAATAGCCAGGAGGCTGGCTTGATTGCAGTTAGAGAAGAGAGTATAAGGTCAGGGAGGTAGCCAGGGATCATATCATGTAGGGTCTTGATGCTTGATAAATTGTATGTAGTAGATTTGAATGAATGAGGTTTTCTACCATCTTGGAACTCTTGCTGCATTTTCCTTGTACTATGTGGTACCTACCACATCTTATTGACCCTGATAACCCTATTGAGTTGTTATCAGTTATGTGTTTGGTACAGAGGGAAACTGCTTGATTCTGTCTGTTGTGGAATGAAAGGTCTGAGCAGGTATTTGCTGAGGCAAATATAGGAAAAACCTAATAGCCTCCAAGTTATTTCTGAAGAAATTGAAGAACAGAATTTCTGTTTTTTGTTTTAATTTCAATTTTTGAGGATATGTTTATGAAGGCTGGGGACAGTGAAACAAAGAAAACCCTAGGTAATATGAATTAGAGTTCTTCCTTTGGGATTGTTTGGTGAGAAATTGGGAATTAGAAATTGGTATGGTGACATTTTGTCTACCCAGTTAGTACTGTCAGGCTAGTGCCTGTCCCCCAAACCTCTCTAAGCCATAGCTGTCATGTCTAAGTGTACATTCTGAACATGAGCCGAGATGTATACCCACATCCATTCAACCCTGCAAGAACCTGTACCCAGTGAAAATATGAGAAAATAGCTATTTTTTTCTTACCTGTTTAGTGACAGACATGGGTGTGCAGTAGCTGAGCATATCAGCCTGAAATATGGCAGGTCACTGAGTGGGTTGTTACAGGTACAGCTAAGGTTCACTGCTTGGTACAAAGAGTTGTTATCAGTTATGTGTTTGGTACAGAGGGAAACTGCTTGATTCTGTCTGTTGTGGAATGAAAGGTCTGAGCAGGTATTTGCTGAGGCAAATATAGGAAAAAACCTAATAGCCTCCAAGTTATTTCTGAAGAAATTGAAGAACAGAATTTCTGTTTTTTGTTTTAATTTTGATTTTTGAAGATATGTTTATGAAGGCTGGGGACAGTGAAACAAAGAAAACCCTAGGATAGAAGAAGCTACAGGAGAGAGCCTAGGAGGCTTTGATGCTTTGGCTCCCTACAGATAGATGTTCTAGGAAAGAAGGAGCCCAGGTCGGGCTGCTGTCCGTTCACTGGAAGGTCAGAGAAAAGGGGGATTCAGACGGTTAGCCAGGACAAGCTGTTGCTGCACTTTGCTCCCCTGGTTGCAAGTCTTGTGGGGGTTCTTAGAGTTTAGGAAAAAGAAAATTCACTCAAAAAGGAGATTCAAGTGGGCATGTCCCAAGGAGGTCATACAAAAACAGCATTTCTGTTAGTTAATTAATTAATGCTGCTAATTAATTGGTATTATTTTGTTTACTAAACAAATTAAAAGCAGTTGAACTTTTAAAACTGATTATCAAGAAATTCTGAGCCCTGGCTGGTGTAGCTCAGTGGGTTGAGTGCGGACCTGCGAACCAAAGGATCGCAGTTCGATTCCCAGTCAGGGCACATGCCTGGGTTGCAGGCCAGTTCCCAGCAGGGGATGCCCAAGAGGCAACTGTATATTGATATTTCTCTCCCTCCCTTCCCCTCTAAAGATAAATAAATAAAATGTTTTAAAAAGTCTATCTTTAAAAAAAATTTTGTATGTTTTTCTCTCGAAGTTATTTTCATAGTTTCCCTTTGCTTTTTATTTCATTGCCACCCTCATTAAGTTTTCATGATCTCAGCATCTGTATTCCAACAGCATACTCCCAGTGCCTCTGTTCCCATTCTGGTTCATCCTGATAATGCCATCAGCAGTATGTCTGAAATCCTGTTTTATTATCTACTCACCTCCTGAAGAGCCGACAGTGGTTCTCTGTTGTTTGCTATATCATATCGTAACATTCTACCTTGCTTTTATCCTCTCTGTCATCTTAACCCAAATTAACCATATTTTCTACTTCTCTCACTCCATGCTGTAGTCAGACTTGCTTTCTAACATCCCTAAACATTGGTGTTTGCTTGTTCGGTTCCTCCTTTCTGTAATATCTTTCCCTACCTCACTAGCTATCCAAAT